TCCCTCTTCCTCTTCCTTTTCTTGTTTCCCTCTTCCTCTTCCTTTTCTTGTTTCCCTCTTCCTCTTCCTTTTCTTGTTTCCCTCTTCCTCTTCCTCCTTCCTATGCTTCTTGATCTCCTCTTCATCCTTGTTCTATTTTTACCTCCATCATTTCCATCATCTTTCCAATTTCAGTCAATTCTTTTGAGGCATTAGGAGTTATATGAATACTTAGGTACTTCCAAGCAGATGAGACAGTTAAAAAAATTATACTCTCTGCTAAGCTATTCATATCCCTAGGCCTGATTTAATTCTCTGATACATAACCATGATCTCAGAGAGAATCCAGATATAACAGGTCCCCATTCATTCCCATATATATTTTTTAGATTTCCAAAATAATATTAGAGACAAGCCAAAGAGAATACTCTAATGAGTCTACATTTATATATTTTTGAACTCACACACCTGCTTAATGGTTAAGGGTTAGGCTTTTAGAGAGAAATCTCATATGGCTCGCTGAATTATGTCAATGGTTACCTGAGTGGATAATTTATATGAATTTTTAAAACACAGACATCATAAGAAATGAATTCCAAGCCCTGACATATGCATTTCTGTTTACATTTTCTTCTTGAAATAGGGTAGTAGTCCTGTGAACAATGTGAGGATTAGTACCGGAGAATAGACCCAAAATAAGAGCACCGGGTGTCTCCTGTGATTGAAATGATAAATTAATGAGTTCTTCTCAGTGACATTTTACCAGAAACCAATTAACTGTAGTAATTACATCTCATCCACTGGGTGCTCTAAAATGTGAAGTGCATGGGTGCTGGGTTTCTGTGTTTGTTTAGTTTTGAGCAACCCCGGTGCCCAATCGACACACCTTCAGCATGAAAACATTTTCACAGTCATTTACTATCTTCCCTTTGTTTGCTGGGTTGTGCAGAATTAAGGAAAATTTTGTATGAGCCCCTAATAAAATGTTTAAAAAAAAAAAGATCCCCCGCTGTCTAAAATTGAGGGTTAGGAAGAAACTCATCCTTTTCTCCTTGTGCTCTGTTTTATTTTACTAGATACAAGAGGTCTTCGAAAGTTCATGGAAAATTTGAATGAAAAATAATAGCTTTTTCCCATGAATTTTTGAAACCCTCTTGGATCTCTGTAATAAAACATTAGCCTTTTCAATATTCTTCACATACACAATTTGATGATATAATTATATTTTTAATTACTATTTGGCATCAGCCTCAAATATCTTAGATGAAAATATCTCGTCTGTTGGCAGTCCACTCCTCTCTATTTATAGTGTGAATAAAATTCATTCCATTTTCTATTGTCATACAGTGGATTTGGGGAAGAATGAAAGATTTTTGGTGTGTTACAGAATTAGTGACCCTCTGACAAATACATAGGTTTACAGAATGTTTCCCAAATCTTATTATTTTAGTCACAGGTCTCAAAGATGACCCATCAAAGTTAATTCTGTCTCCCAGCCTCCCTGAAGCCCCACATTAGCCCCAAACAGACATTTGAAAGTTAGCTGGTAGACATGAGGAATGCAGACCGAAACTTGTGCAGTTTTCTGTTTTAAAAATCATTTTGTTGGGAGCTCTTACAGATTTCATAACATTCCATAGTGCAGTCACACCACGCAGTATTGTACACTTGTTACCACACTCAGTTTCAAAACGTTCTGTTTTTGACGTCCTTGATATCCACTCCCTTTGATCCCCTCCTTTCTCCACCCCCCCAACTCTTACTATTATTATTGTATATACATTGCCATATCTTACACTATCTAATATATCCATTCACCTACAATTCTGTTGTTTGCTCCTCTCAAGTGAGGTTATACAGTTATCATTGCTATCAGCTCCCCCTTCCTCTGCCCCTCCCCCTTCCCATACCCTCAGGAAATTGTTACTCCCGTTACTTTTTGTGTGTGTGTGTGGTTACCTATATTGGCTTTCATGCATCGAATGATCTTAGTTTTACTAATGACCGTATGCAAGTCTGTCAAGGTTAATGAGGTAGAACTGAAACGATAAGAGTAGGGGAAGGAAATGTTAAATAACTAGAGGAAAGCTATGTGTTTCATCAGTGCTATACCACGCCCTAGATATATCATCCTCACCTTTTGGCCCTTCTGTGAGGGACTGTCCAATTATCTTACAGGTGGGTTTTGGGTCTCCACTACATCTACACTCCTTCACAATGATTCAGTTGCTTATTTTTGACCTTCTGATACCTATTTCCATTGACACCTTATGATCACACCATCTGGTGTGCTTTTTCTATGTGGGCTTTGTTGCTTCCCTTAGATAGTTGTTTGTTTTACTACAAGCCATTGAGACCCTAGCTGCTATATCTTTTAACAGCCAGGCACCATCAGTTTTCTTCAC